TGACTGCCAGTCAGTAATTTGTTCGGTTGTTTAGAACTAGCCTGTCATCTTTGGCCCAAGCTCAATAGCCATTGGTGTGTGACTTTGAAATACAGTGCATAACAACAATAAGTGTGTTAGGCCTGAACAAGAAGACCTGGGCTTCTGGTTAGTTTTTACGGTGCTTCCTAGTATTCTACAAGGATGCAAACTTGCTTATCAGAAGCATTTGTTAGAGAGGAATGTTTATAATAATGATTCCATCATATTGATTTTGATCCTCTTATGGCTAAATTAGGACGTCAAGGCAAATGTGTGTTTCCTACAAATAGCCCATTCTTCCACCTGATAATATAATTTCTTCAAAGGAAAGTGCTTTGGCAATCAGACTTGCAAATTAAGTCTTTGTTTATCTTCCAGTGACGTATCCCAAAACAAAGTATGTGGGAATGCAAGATACAGAGGTGAGAAGAGTTCAAGCTGAGGCAAACAGACATCTTTTACCACTTAAGGGAGCACCACTTCTTAATACTGTATAGGCTAAGCAGATCTAGTTTGAAATTAAAATTACTTCCACCCATAGAACATCTGCAGGTGTATTTTGACAATGGTATGTCACTTGAACCTTCAAAACTGTTGCAGTTGCTACTTCTATACTGTGCCCAGTTTAGCCAATTCTTTTTAGAAAAGGTAATAAATGGCTTTCCACTGTTTGTGGGGAGGGGAGAAATTGCAGCAGATACTTTATAGCAAGCTGGAGGTCTCTGTGCATATGCTAGGTTAGCATTAGCAGCTTTTTCTGATTGCCTAGAGCTCTAAAGTACCATTCTTTGCCAGGGAGGAGGCGGCTATCTCTAATCTGGCATCTGAAAATGACAAAGTGATCTATCAAACAGAATTAGGCAGGCAGATCCTTCCTGTTCTGTTTAGCGTTGTAATTCAATATGGGCCAAGCCAGAGGCCTAACCAGATTTGAAGGAATCGTTCCTTCAAATCTAATGAAGTACAGCTCGCCCTAGCATTAGCATGTGAGCTTCCTCTATTCTTAAATGAGAAAGGCCATACTCTAGACGTCAAGCAAAATTTATCAAGGTCTTTGGGCTTTGGGAGATGGATCTTTATTGTAGCGTAATTCAGTGGCTATAATATGCTTTATCATCTCAGTTACTTATGTCTGAATATTTTTTGAAAATGTTTTCAGTCTATGTTTGCATGCTTAAGTTTTGATGCATTAAGATTTAACATTCTAGAAAGCAGTGGCAGCACCACATTGACACTTGTCTTAAAATGTGCCAAAGAAGGGTCTCAGAAGAAGGCATCTCTCTTTCTCAGCACATGGGAAAACCATAGAAACCGTTTATAAACTGAGGAGGTTTTCCTCATCTCTTTGAAAGGAATGTGTCACCACAGCACCTTCCCATAGAAAACTAGTGCTCATACCTCCTACAAATGTAGAGTTGGGTGTAGAATTCAACGTTCCAGCTGATTTGGCTTCCTACAAAACGTCTAAGAGAACATTTCTAGATTTCACAGATGCAAATATAGGGTTGAAAAAGTATGGGAACCATCTTGCAAAGCCACAGGTTTAACTGAATGGGATCTCTAGAAATGTCAAAAGGTGGTGCTTTGGTGGACCCTCACATAACATCTGAGTAGAGCTTGGAAAAGTTATCTGTTTGGACCACAGCTGCCACAAACTCCTAGACAGGATGGCCATTGCTGGCTGTGAGATTCTGGGTGTCGTAATAAATACAGTAACTTTTCCAAGTTCTGTTCCTCAGTCTTTTATGCCTCTGCACGACTAGAAGAAGCTGATATAAAGCAAATTAACACAATATGCAAATTTATTTATTTAGCATAATGTTTTATAGAGCGCGGGCGACTGCTTGTCTTTAAATGTCATTTGGATTATTTTGGCATATAGAATTCTGATTACTATTAAATTGACAGAATGCCCACAGTGAGCCTTCCTTAATGTTTCTGCATCTAAAGACGTGGGGATTGACCCCAGAATATATTACCAGGCTGTATCTATTCGAAATGAAAGAAGCAGCCCTCAGAAAGACATTTCTAAAATGTTCTCAAATGCATTTTCTTTTTGTTTTTTTCTGATTTTTTTCCCCCTGGTTACTTCTTGGCTGAAAGATACTTAACACTTACATTTTGCTTTGTCTGTTCAAGCCATCTGCATCTCAGGTACTGCTGGATAAATCTAATGAGTAGAAATTAATTAAAGGCTCTGATTTCTTGTTTCTTGTTTGTTTGTTTATCCACTGCCAGCCTGACCACCAGTGGTCTCAGTGGCCCCTGGGTCCCCTTAGCAATAATTCCATGGGGTCCAGGCTGAAAGGATTATCAGTAACATTCTTTATTCAAACTAACATAGTGGTAGATACAGCAGCTGCCACTTTAAACTTGCCCCCCCCATTAGCTGAGTTCCCTGCATGAACTCCCCAGGTGGTGCCCTTTCAAGGGAGACCCTCACTGGAGGCCCAGAAAATCCTGGCTCTGAGAAGCAGGAGGGGATAATGAGTCTAGACTTCAGCCATGGTCCTTCCAATGACAGTTGATCCAACTGGGTGAGGGATATTTGGGTGGGCTCCTCTGCGCCTCCCAGAGCCCCCTTCACCTCTTGTGCTGGCACCTGCATTGCCAGCACCACATCTGTGTTAGAGTGGGCACTGATGTTCCTCTTGCCCGGCATGGAGGCCAAGGTCTTCTCACTGGCAGTGGTTTTTCAGGTGGAACCTGCAGAAGGGCCTGTCATCTGTGGCCCCTTCCTCTGTCAGCCTGACAGGGTTCAGGGACCTCTTCCCAGGGATACTCCCTCCATCTGCCTTCCACTTCCCTAGAAGCACAGAACAGGAGCTCTCAAGCCTCCACTGCGTCTCCCTGAGTCTCTTCCTCCTTAGAGGCTTCCACGCCTCTGCTTTTTCTCCCAAAGCCTGCAAAGTCCTCTCATTCCTTCTTTCTTTCTGCCAGCACTTCCTCCTCCATCCTCCACAGGTACCTCCCAACATCCAACTGTTCCATGGACATCTATACTCCCTCCCTCTTTGCTGGCACGGGCTTGGGAGCTAAGAGTTCTCCTGGGATCCCTCAAGGCTGTCGGTTGAGGACAGAAAACCCACCCAGGGCATTGGTGTCAACTCTCTCACAGTTTGTTTGTACATTTGTTGCTTTTCGTAGACCTTTGGTTGGATATAAAACCACTTAATGATGAGTTCTAATTTTAAAACAGCCAAAGCCTAGCTCAGAATGTTTCAAATATCTTATTTCAATATGCTTCAATTTAACTGTTTTGCCAAGTCTGTTGGCTTAGAAAAATGTGCCAGGGTGTATGGAACCATTCCAAGGACCTCTAAAGTTTCTCCTGAACTCCACTACTGTTCCTGATTCTGAATCCCCAAGTTCTGCTCACAAACCTATTGAAAGCCTTCAATCTTTCCATCTTGGGCGCTTCCCCCAGATTATGCTGGATGTTTTAAGTATGAACAGAAGGCTCTGCAAGTGGCATGACATGATGTTGATGTGCCATACCAGTGAACGAAAAGGGAAGTACAGGGCTAACTGGAAACCATTTGCTTCAGAGAAATGCTGTTTCCTCTCTGCTTCCACTGTAGGAAAACATCAAATTCATCAGGGATTTTTACTACAGTGGTGCCCCGCATGACGACGATAATCCGTCCCATTGAAATCGCTGTTTAGCGAAATCGTCGTCATGCAAAATCTGTTTCCCCATTGCAATGCATTGGAACCCGTTTAATGCGTTCCAATGGAGAAAATACCTCATTGTCCAGTGAAGATCGCCCATAGGGAAGCCATTTTGTGAGTGCAAATCAGCTGTAAAAATGGCTGTCCTGCAAAGCATGGGTCCGGAAAACACAGGGCAGCCATTTTGCGAAGCTGACGATCAGCTGTAAAAATCGTCGTCTTGCGAACAAACAGTTTGCAAAGCACGGACCAAATCGTCGTCAAGGGAAAATCGCCCATTGGAATGACTGTTTTGAGAATCTCTATAGCGATCGCAAAAAGTCATCGTTATGCGGATTCATCATTTAGCTGGGTCATCGTCTTGCGAGGTACCACTGTATTGAGTCAAATCAGAGCTGGAGAGTAACAAGTTATAGGTAATACACTTTTAACCCGCAACTAGTTATCTTTTTGGTAACAGAGGGTTCAATGAAGTTCCATTTTAAAGTAATGTGTAAGGAGGCTCAAAGTGACTTTACTAGTGCAACACAAAATATTTCTAGTTATACTCAAAATCACCTTTAAAGGTGGCATTTTAAGATTTTTTAAGAAACATATCATAGGAGTTTTAGAAGTTCCATGCCATTCTTTTATTAATTCTAAAGTTCTTTTAAAATAAACAAAAGTAATGAAACTAACCAGCAGAACAAGTAAAATATCAAGTTGTTTTTTTCAACAAGTAATGTAACACGTTATCATGAGTAATGATACTGTTGCACTTTTAAAAAAATAATTGCAACAAATAAGGAGTGAATTACTTTTGACTTTTTAACTTTTTTTAAAGGAAGACACTAGAAACTATTTAAGAATTGATTTAAAATCTGCTTGGGGGATGAATATTGATACCACAAAGTGAGATTTTTTTTGGTGGTACAAAAATCTGTCATTAACTATCTATCATTTATCTGTCTATACTGCAGCTTAGATTTGCTCGCACAAGACTGACTGCAGGGGTTTTTCTGAGGTTAGGGAATAGTATTGTGCTATGTTGGCATAATTCACAGGCATAGCACTCACTACTACAACATGTTGTATCAATAATAAATAAATTTGGGATGGTGTCAACACTTTTCCCTGGTGGCCCTTGAAGACATCCATGCTCTTGCTGCCATTTTTTTAGAATTCACTTAAGTAAATAGTAAAAGACCTATTAAATCAATACTAACTTCCAATTTTTCTGGTCTTCAGAGTGCTCTGAATGTATTTGGGAATTGGGCTTGATTTATGAAATAACCCATCATTCTTGTTTCTTTCACTTTCTTCTGAAGGAACCAAATCTTACAGAGGCCCCAAGACCAGTGTCTGAGAAGCCCAGACGACGAAGACTGCTTTCCCTGGACACTTTCCGAGGGTAAAGAAAAATACCATTATTTAGCACAGCCTCTTAAAATGCTCTTTGCATGTCTATAGATGAAATTCTGCATTTTGTATAATGTGGAAATCTAACAGCTGATTACGTGGAATGGAGTTGACAATGTATCCTACTTCTGTCTGGTCTTGGAAGGGACAGACAGCTATGGAAGACACATGAGCCACATCTTCTCACTACTGTTGATCTTACTTTTATTTTTTTTTTAATTCCAGAATTTAACCAGAAACTGCTCATGCACCTTCAAACTTGTTCTTCCAACCATATAAGCTAGCAGCATCTTTCTTTTTAACAGAAGGTATTTTTGAATTTTGCACCCTGTTCAAGCACTTGTCATTTCTCTGCACAATGGAATTTTGATTTACACCCAATCCCTAGTTTAAGGCTGGAGTGTTTTTCATATAGTGAGTTGTTTTATATTGTGTTCAGGTAACTAATGGGAAAAACAGCTTTTCAGAACAATACCCTAGGTAAAGGTAAAGGTTCCCCTTGACAATTTTTGTCCAGTCGTGTTCGACGCTAGGGGGTGGTGCTCATCCCCGTTTCCAAGCCATAGAGCCAGCGTTTCGTCCGAAGACAATCTTCCGTAGTCACATGGCCAGTGCAACTTAGACACGGAACGCTGTTACCTTCCCACCGAAGTGGTCCCTATTTATCTACTTGCATTTGCATGCTTTCGAACTGCTAGGTTGGCGGGAGCTGGGACAAGCGATGGGAGCTCACTCCGTCGCATGGATTCGATCTTACAACTGCTGGTCTTCTGACCCTGCAGCACACAAAGGCTTCTGCAGTTTAGCCCGCAGCGCCACCACACCCCTAGGTGGTAAATAATAAGGGTAGCAGTGATCTTAATATAATTTTGAGACACCAGCAGGATTCTCTGTATTCATAAAGCCATCATTAGAAGCAGGTAATCCAACCATCTTCCATGTGTATCTGCAACTCCGTTCTCTCATTAGCTACAGTATTATGATGCCACTGTGAGTGAGAGGTTGACATGGCCACTGAAAGGGGTTTTCCCCTCTTTCCTATTGTCTCTTGAGCTAATAATATTATGCTACTATAGGTCGTATTAATATTTTAAAAACGTTAAAACCAGAATCAAATGACTGACATTTTTAGAACTGATATTTTCCAACATTAAAAGTACAGCAGATTGAATAATTGGGTTTCATAGCTGGTTGTGTGCTATTATAGCTACCTATTGAATGCCACTATTTCAGAAGGTGCCAAAGGGTGCTGTGCTGCAAGAGTGTCAAGCTTAGTTAGTGGCACAGCCCTGTGAAGTACAAGCCAGACTCTAGGAATAAGTCACCCAAGTGTTCATAGGAGAGTATTTTATCTACCTAAGTGTGAGGGCCAAATTACGTGTTTTGGTAGATGTGCAGATGTCAGTGAAAATTGAATTGCTGTGTCTGTCTCTCTCTCCTTATAATGTGTAATTTAGTATCATTTATTCATGATTTGTGGTGGGATTTTTTTTGCATTTATTTGCCACTACCATGTCTGTGATAATACTGATTCAGAGGCGTAAACATGTTTGAAGAAAAAAGAATGCAGCGGTTGGTCCTGATTTAGCCAGTTCAAATGCTACCCTGTTTCCCCGAAAATAAGCCCTAGTATGATTTTTTGGGATGCTCGTAATATAGGCCCTTCCCCAAAATTAAGCCCCAATTAAGTGAAACCCTGTCCTCCACCATTGTGCAGCACTGTTCAGCAACCAGAAGAAGATGACATTAATGTAAAATAAAACATCTCCTGAAAATAAGCCTGAATGCATTTTTAGAGCAAAATTTAATAGAAGATGCTGTCTTATTTTTGGGGAAACACGGTACATTTCTCTGCCTCCTCACCATGTGTAAAATGCTACAATTTGTACTGGGAAATCTTGAATGTATTGTGTATATTCAAGGTCCAGAAAAATTCACTGAGTAATAGTGGGACTTCTCAGTGTACTTCTTCCGGAGCCATGGTAATGGAGTATGGGAAGGGAGTGTGTGGGTTCAAAATTGCTTGGAGATGGGCACAAACATTGGTATGGAGGTCTGGCCCAATTTGTTGTTGCACTCGCACAAGTGTTGTGTGGACATAGTGGTCTCCCACCTTTTAACTTACATTAGTGTGGAAAAAATTCTTCTGGACCTTGAAAATGTAAAATTCAAAATGAGTGGGTATTGTAGTCTGAGGAATGTGTTTTGTAGATCCTTGATTTTGGAGTCTCTATTTCATGGGTCTTGATTCTCAGGGCTTAGCTGTAAGCTATGGATCTTGTTGTGTGTTCAGGATGGAAGCTGGAAGCATGCAATCATGTACTGTAGTATCAATCGGTGGGGTTTTGGTACAGCTAAGATGGTGCTAAGTTATCCATGTTTTACAGTAGTGTCTAAACAATGTACCTGTTATTAGATTGTTCCAGAGTGAGGTTGATCAGATTGCCACAGAACTGTATTATCTGAGTGGGATTCATGAGGCAGAAGGACAGACCCTGTGTAGGTACTGACTCTTGTGCTTGGCTGAATTGAGGCTGGATAAATTGATGGTGCTATTTTGTAAGTCCATGGTGTGGGCCAAGTGGCTCTGTAGTAGATTAGATAGTTTATTTTCTTCCTTTTTCTTCAGGGAAGTAAGTTGTGCATCATAAATGTTTTTTCTTTGGTGGTGAATATTTGTGCAGTATTCAGTACAGAGGGCTGGTTATATCTGTGTGGTTCAAGATCTGTAACGTCCTTCTGGATTTTCCTTTGTTTGCTGTAGAGGATGTTGATCAGGTGATTCAGTAGTTCTTCTGGAGAGAGTGTTGCAGAATCTTTCACCATTAAGGGCTCTGGTGGTTTCTCGGTAACTCAGGCTAACTGGAGCCAACACTAGCCACGATGTGAAGGGGGCACATTCGTTTTGCTTCCGCTTGTTTTTGTTTTTGTTTTTTTTCCAGAAGCAAGGAAGTAAATGCACTGCTCCTTGTTGGGTGGTTTACTGTTAAGTATCCACTGACAGGAAACCGGCATAAAGCAAAAGTATAGAGGTCATGAACTGGTTAGGAGGCAATTTAGTTCCCTCCTGGCATGCCTGTTTCATCAACGAACATATCACTCTGATTTGACGTGAACAATAAGTTACTTGTTGTAAATTCTGAAGGCAAAACAAACCAATTTAACCCAGTCTGGCTGGAGGAGTGACATTAATTGTGTTTCATGACATCTGTTGTGCATGTTCTTCCAGGATGGATATGGTGTCATGTCCTGTCACCATCCCATGTGTTAAGGTGTAACATAATGGTGTGACATCTGATCTGGAAAACGGTATTTATGAAACATTTACTCAAACATCAAACAAGGACTTGGGAAGCGTTCTTCCTAAAAGAGAAAGAGCCAAAGCAAATTTTAGAACATAGGCATGACTTATTATTGGGAAGTTCAGCTCAAGCCTCATTGGAACAAATAGCACATAACATAAAATGGTACCCACTAGAAATGGGACTTTGGGAGTGACATTAAAAAAAGAGAAAAGAGCCTTTTTCTTTTTATTTTCAAATTCTTTCATCAACTTCTGAAAGAGACCCTCTGAAAATCAAACCATTTAGAATTTTTTCAGAAAAGAATTTTAAAAAATTCATTTCATTCAAATTTCACTCAGATTTCCTCATTTGGATTACCTCTGTTTGAATTATGTATGTAAAATCACCTAACTAATATTCCAACAAATAGAAGCAGGAGCCCTCACAATGAGGGCTGTGAACATCCTGGAAGGGAAGGGTGGGGAGTTTGAATCATTAAAGAAGAAAACTGAAATGGCCACTCTTTTGCTCCTTGGTGGCTTGTTCACTGTTGCCTCATGAGTTCATCTCCTGTCCTCGATATTATATTTGGATTTAGATTATTATCATCCTGACTGGCTGCTGCTGATCGTCCTTTCTGAATAATTTTTTTTATTCTTTCACCGAAGCTACCAACATGAATTTGACCAAACTCCGAGAGGCAATGGAAGACAGGAGAGCCTGGCATGCTCTGGTCACGAAGAGTCGGACACAACTTAATGCCGAAACAACAACAACAGTTCTTTTATTCCTCTCTCTCTCTCTCTCTCTCTCTGTCTCTGCTTTTCTGGATTCCTTGCTTTTTTAATTTGAGGGGAGTATTCCAACCCCCCCTTTTTTCTTTATTTTTGCCCACAATGCTTGCCATTAACCTGGTGGATTGTTGCCTGCTCTGCTTGACTGAAGCCATAAGAGTAGTAGGAGAAAAGACATCTCCCCAATCTTTATATTCTGTCTAGGTGTGTGTGTGCGTGCGTGTGTGTGCGTGTGTGTGCGCGCGCGCACACACATGTGCACGCACACACATGTAGGCAGGCTGCTGTCTGCTGCATTCTTCCTTGATTTTCCTTGGTAATATCACCAAAAATTTGTCAAGGAATGTTAATATTTCTATCTTGATTTATTGTGTTCTCCTAACTCCTGCTGGCACTCTGTCTTGTCCTTTGTTCACATCATGTAGTAAGACTTTGTTTTTTTGCTAGGAATGTTTGTGTTTTTTCCCTCCTCTACAGTAGAAAGAGTATGCATGTCTATACATATTTTAATGTGTGTATTTTAAAACTATTTTTCTCATTGACTAAAATGTTTGTCGCATGTACATGTTGAATTTTAAAAGGCATGCTTTTCAGCATATTTTATTTCTCTGACATATACAAGAGACATCACCAGTATGCAGATTTCCTCAGCAGGGTTTGTTATGTAACAAATGTGTAACAGATGTAAGAATATTTGACATTATTTCTAGCAGAGTGCTGTAGGCTAATTCTAAGATGCTCCTGAATCTAATAAAATTATTCCACAAACTTGTAATTAGATATAAAAGAAGATTATACAGGAGAAAGAGTCCTATATTTCATCACAGGAGCCCTAACTCTGGCTTCATAAACAAGGTGAGAGTTAGTTTGTCCCTAACCCTAGAGGAAGAAGCAGGGAGTGAGTTCAGAGGGTG